TTAAATAAACGCCTCACGATTGTTATTTTACATTGTTAGTGACTTTCTAATATCCTGACACCATATTTCCTATCAAAAGTAATATAGGTAGTCGTCATGTAATAAAAATTGTATTATTTCAATCTTTCATTGACTTTCTACAAATTATTTTATATTCTTAACCACATTCATGCTTGTATGTTGTAGGAATGTTTTATAATTTATATTATAATAATTAATACTGCTCAAGACATACTGACAAAATGTACTAGGTACCTATTTTAGAAATATCATAGATATCATTAAAATTTAATAACATAACCATTTTAAACTTTTTAGCTACATTAGATTACCTACCTCATTAATATTTATACATAACAATTCAAAACGTAGAAGCTTACTTGTAACAAATTAATATTCAATCTATTATTATTTTGATAACATTGTTTAACTTTCAGCGCTTTTGACATAAATCATATAACTGTAGTGTTGGGAATAGATAACTAATAATTTATCTAGATAAAGATAAAGATCACTGTAATAATTTTTATCTAGATACAGATAAAGATAATCATACTAAATTTTATCAAGATAAACATGAGATAATTGGTGTATTTATCTTTATCTATAAGATTATTTTTCCTGGATTCTTCAACTTTAGACATTATTGAAGCATGTTTATACTAAAATATTTACAAAATATTAATATTGTAGTAAATGGCACTTGTAAATTGTAAATAGAATTTAAAAATAAATAGCTGGTCTTAAAATTATACATACTTTATAATGACTAAGGAAATTACCACTTGAATTAATACTCCCATTTACAACTTTGGAGCAATTTTGGCACAATGCAGATAATTTATTTACTTCTAAGGAAATTATTTTAAAAAAATCCATCAAATAAATATTTCAGTTTAGAAGTATTTATTAGGTGGTTCAGTTGTTTGAGTACTTGAATCATCTTTTTTTTAGGATCTTGGACGGGCCACCATTTAAAACTTGGACAAACCGTTTCATGAATAAAATAATTAAATGAACAAAATAAAAAATATAGTCAATAACAGTCACAAAATATATAATTGTCAATTTTTGTATACCGTTTATTTTATTGCGCCTACAGCAAAGGACAGAGTTCGTACAGATAGGTTAAGCGATAACTGAAATACCGGGAATTCTAATAGGGTTTTATAAATATTAAATTGTTATAAATTATAATGATATTATATTATTATGCTTGTGAGTCCAATATCCATGAATGTTGGTTTATTTTTGTTGGTTTGAAACAATAATTATTTTTCATACTTTATACACACTTCTATGAAACGGGTATCAGCTAATGAGACCATCATCATTCGGGAGTGGCAGGTGGGTAGCAGGGATAGATATTTTTGCTTTTGCAATTATTATAAAAAAAATAAAATAGTTGTTCTTACAATCTTACCTACTACATGCTCATTACATGTTTCTATTTTTGGGTTTTCTCATTGTTTACGATGTAAAACTCCAGACTAACAATAAATATTAATAAATATTAAAATCATGGTAATAATAATACGTATTACTAAACGTGTTTTCTATGTAGGTACTAGATGAAAAAAAAAAAATATTTTAATTTATTCAAATTCACTATTTGTGACTGATAAACAATAATATGATAACGCTATTGCATATTAATTATTTGGTAAAATATATTTTAATCACCTCATTAATAATTCTGATGGGAATGCAATATGCATAATAGGTTGTGTTTAAATCACAAATTGAGATTTATTTATGTATATCTTAAATCGTGGTTTAAATGTTTTGGTTATCCTTATCAATAAATAATAATAGTTATGTAATTTTGTCAAGGTGTGACTATTCAATAAGTGTTATTACTTATTATTACTATAGTGTTTAAAATCTGATGTTAACAAAATATGCGTCTATACCTTCATAGAACCACAGAACTAGACACAATATAATGCTTCATAATATTAGATTATATTAGTATTTACAAAGTATTTTGTATTGCATTCTTTAACACATTTTAACTTATATCATCATATTGGAGTCAATTAGTATTTAGCATTTAATATTATGTAAGTATTATAACATTATACATTTATACAACTTCGATCATGTTTAGACAAACTACAAATTGTTCAAATTAATCAAATTCAATTTATGGTTTTAATCTCGTTTCCCGTAAAGTAGGAAACATAAAATAATGAGTAGAAATATTTTATAAAAATATAATTTCCCTAGGATATTCGTATCCCTCAGTATAAAAAAAACTAGGGAGTGTAGTACCTATGAATATTGAATATTGTACCGAAGGTGTATTATAATATATAATATACTAGGAATATTGTACTAGGGATATAATTGTCTTAGGTATGGTCATTGTCCTAGTATGACATTTTAGGAGGTATAAATATTCTAGGATATTCGTACCCCCCGGTATGAGATTTTGGGAGGTATAGTACGCCTAGGATATTTGTACCCCCCGGTATAACATTTTCGGAGGTATAAAATTCCTAGGATATTCGTACCCCCCGGTAAGATATTTTAGGAGGTATATATTGACGCGGCCCGCGTTAGTAGCAAGTACAATGTACAAGCACTCCAACCACCACCACGGGATGCAAGCAGCGCGACCGGGTTGACTCTCCCACCGAGCCGGTAACGGCAAGGCGGGACGGGGGGGCTGTGTCGCGTAAGACGTACAACGGTCGGCGGAAAAGGCGATTCGAGATCCACCATCGGACCGTCGGACCGATAACATATCGTCCGACGTTAAACTCATCTGCCCGAGCGGCACGTCATGTATTATTATATTTTGGTCGCAATATTATAATACATAATTTGTGACATTCTTAAAGTGTTAGTGTTGTGTTTTTTTTCATCATCTCAATCCTAACCAAACACTTCGACCGGACCACGATCAACCTTGAAGCAATCATCGTGTCCGCGTCAATATATCCTAGGAATAGTATACCGGGGGTATATAATTCCTAGGATATTAATACCCCCCGGATTTTGGGAGGTATAGAACGCCTAAGATATTTGTACCCCCCGGTATGACATTTTGGGAGATATAAAATTCCTAGGATATTCGTACCCCTCGGTAAGATATTTTAGGAGGTATATAATATATCCTAGGAATATTATACCGGGGGTATAAATATTCTAGGTATTTCATACCCCCATGGAGGTATTATTATCCTAGGATATTTGTACCCCCGGTATATATTTTTGGGGGGTATAAGTATCCTAGGATATTTGTACCGGGGGTACAATTAACCTAGGAAAATCATACCCCCGGGGGGTATAATAATTAGGAGGTATCATTTTCCTGTCACACCAGGTTTAATATAGTTATAATAATTATACTATAATAATTAGTAATAAGAAATAAGATTTTAAATTGTTTATCATTATTATTTGAAATTATATATTATCACTATTAAATCAGTAACCACACGTTCAAAAGTTGGATGAAATCAACTTCATGGTATATGTGGGAACATCATGGTATTCGTAGTAGAAACCGTAAAATTTGTGATAGAAACCAGATTTAATCACGTGGTTGGACCAATCTGAGCACGGCAACATATCACGACACAACACGACACGGTGTAGTGTGAACCCAGCTTAAAGCGTCTTTCACTGACGACTTACCACGGATCGTAACCGTGTTCATTGTATTAATAGAAAACTTTTCGAAATTACGACACTGTCAGACGACGTACGAGCCATGGTCGAATTCGGGGTACTGACAATATATATTTTATTATAATATTATTATATAATTCATTGATAACAGTATAAACGCAAAATGTATAACAGCAGCCTACAGCTGCAGCAGTACAATAATAAAATTATTATATTTAGATGTAAAATTTTATTATATTTCGAACGGTCTGTGGACGTCCAATGTAGTTCTAACTAAAAGTGATTAGGATTATTATATATATTTTCCAGACTGGAAAAATAAATAAAATCGTGTAATAATTGTAAATTTTGGGGGATATTGAATGGACGTACATAGGGAATCCACCTGGGCTGTTTCCAGTCAGGAAGCAAACGGGAAGTTCCCGTGGACGTCATGTGTTGTTAGGGTGAACTTTATGAAAAGTATATTCACTCATCAAATTATAATACAATGTATCAACTTACCCCACTACCAGAGCATATGGGTAAGATGACGAGTTTCAAATATTTTTTAAACATTTTTTCAACCTGTATGGTTTCTACTATTATTGTACAACTCTTGAAAAGCTCCTCTATCTAGGTAAGTGTGTAAGTATTGAGGTGTTATATTTAAAAAAAACATTGAACCTTAGATTCGTCAATTTACCCAGATCTCCCCTACTAACAGATAAAGTTATACTTCATTGGGCGTTGTGTATTGATGAATAATGCATGTGTTCCATAAAACATATAAATAATAAATATTATAAATAAATATATTGTATAATTAACTATTTTATAGTTAAAATAACATCAGTTTATTGTTGAATTAAATACATTATTTATTTCTACATTATAGTATATGTGCGATTAAAAATAGTAAAATACACTCATGTATACTCCGGGCTACGAGAGTCCATACGTAAAAACGCGTCCGTCGCTGCGCATCGGCATGTTGCCGAATAGTGGGAATCTAGTAGTATGGGCTTTCGTGGGCCGGACTGTATAAATGTTATTTTGAATATAAATATAGATTTACCAACGATTAATCGGTTAATTTCTACTGATATCAATGTTTATAAATTATTATTTTTAATTTATGATATTTATAGTTTATTGGTAGACATGATAATATTACTTTTGTGTTGTACAACTGGCGTACTGCTGTAGTGCTGTTACGTCTTGTGCTGTGTACTTGTGTGACTACAAAATTGTCGTGACTCGTGTGTTTACAGTTTACGTTGATTTTATTTTGTCCGCGTGTTAAACTTAACTATTTCTAATGCCAGTTTCACATTAATTTGTTATTGCAAATTAACATTTTCCATTACTTACAAATTGCAATGGAAAATTATATGCAGGTAAGATATTATATTATTAAAATTCACCTATACAATATTTGGTTTTGAAACGTGGTTTTGAAGCGTGTTTTGCGCGTGACAAAATATATTAAAAAATAATTAATAAATGTATAAACAAAATACTTTTATTTTGTCATGTGTCTGCAAATATAGATTACAATAAAAGATTGTTATGTATAAATAAATTAAGTCTTAGGTACTGTTGATTTATTTACTATTGTAAAAAGTTTGTTCCTAGTCTCTCGAGCACACTAAATGCTGTACTTGTACCAACAGACTCGAACACATCTGAAATAGATGAGTTTAGTAATAAAACATATTCAACATTGACAAATCCTTCAACATCTACAATTGCCTTGCCGAGCTCTACATCATATTCTCATACTAAAGAAAGGAGGACTATTGAATGGTCGACAGAAGTAAGTTATTTTACCTATACCTATACCTCTATCTAATAGTATATACTTATTATATAATAAGTACTAACCTGTCTTCTCATAGTATAATATTAAAAAGTAGGTAGATAGTACCTACGTACATTTGCCTAACATTTCTATTTGTTCTTAACAATTATTGAATTGTACAATAAATTTCAAATTATAAAGGTTTAATTTAATACCTACCACTAATTATTTTAGACCCTGCTTGATCTATTACATACCACAAATGATGGTAGGTGTATATTTGCTGATGCTAGATTAAATAATGGTAACCTGTCTGATGAAGCTCAAAACTCACTAACAAAACTGATTATCAATCATTTATTTCAAGAACAGAACAGGTAATTTTTGAAATCTAAATCAATTAATTTTTCAATTTAAATAGTTTTAAAGATTTATATGATAAATAATTAGATGAAACTTAATTGATATTTTGTTGTAAATACAAACAAAACTTATAAGTTACAATTTATACTACATTTTTAAATGTTGCTCTTTTAATTTGATAAATATGCTAATTGGGTAGCAATTTTCTGTATATATATTTATTTTTATGTCTGTAGGGGAAGCGATATTTATTTCCATAAAATAGCAGATCTAATAGTTGAAATTTTTCCAAAAGAAATAAAGGTATGTCGTACGTTTCTAAATAATATATTATATACATTATTTTATACTATGTTATACAATATATTATATAATTTAGTCATAGATTATTATTATTAATTTGCAGGCGTGTATACAAGGGGGGGGGGTTCTAGGGGTTCAACCCCCCCCCCCCCCCAAAAAAAAATTTCAGGAAATGAGTTATTATTTGTTAATTAAAAATTTTTGAAAATGTACAAGCAAACCCCCCCCCCAAACTTTTTTTTGGGTACGCGCCTGTTAATTTGTCTTTATGGATATCTAGGTAATATTTTTTGGTAGGTAGGTGTTTTGTAAATTCCTTTATCTATTAAAATATTGGTGGAAACTTATATAATATATCATAATATAATATAATAATGAGTGGATTCATTTTATTTTGGTTTAAATTTATTAAATTTAATAATATAGTATACATAAACTATAATAAAATTATAATATTTTTTTTTCTTTAAGAGTATATACTTTATACCTGCAAGGCATGAAGGAACTAGCCAAACCCATAGTAAAGGAAAACTTGTAGAAAGATGGAAGAATGTGGCTAGAAAACTCAGAAGTTTAGGTGCCATTGACTACGAAAGAGGAAAAAAAGAAAATATAAATATCCCAACATCATCACATCAATCTTTTTCTGGTATTATAGTAGTATTTAAAAAAAAGTTTAAATATTTAGTAAATTTGTTTTATTTTTAAATTATATAGAAGAAGTTGAATGTACAAAATTATGGTTAAAAAATGATGGATTATCAGCCCCATTTGATGATATTTTAATAAATAAGTGGATACTTACATATGAAATTCGCAAGGCGGATGTTTTTGGACCATGCTCACGTAATTTATCTTCTGTTTTTGAGTTATGGCCATTAATTTGTAGTCCAAAGGGGTATTTATTGGTAAGAAAATAATAATTCTTAAAATTAATAATATAATATATTATATAATTGTTAAAAAATATTTTTAAGGTTGCTGAAGATTTTAAAATAGGCTATCCTGATACTATACAATTATTTGAAGACTGGAATGTTTTTATTAAGACTTGGTCAGATTTTACAAAATTATTGGTTACCTTGAGAAGAGGATCTATTAAAGATAAACATGCTCGTTCACTTCTTATGCAATTAGATGCTTCAGATGTAAATGGAAGTAAGAGTACCTATATTTTTATTAATTTTTATATTTTATAAACATGAATTTCAATTTAGATTTCATGATATCTGAAATTATCAAACTTTTATTATTGCCATATTTGATTCCAACGAAGACACAAATAAAAAACTCCTCTGCTAATACTTCTAACAAAACCAAATTTTGGAAACCATCTTTGGAAGAATCAGCTGCTGCTTTCATTTGTCACGTTACGGTTAGTATTATTTAATTTGCTTAAAAAACTTAAAAATTAAAAAACTAAATTGTTAACATTTACAGAATCTTATTGAACTTAATGAAGAAATTCTTAAAAGGCGCAAAAAGTATTCTCAATTTGGAGCAACCATACAGCCTTATTTGATATTAGTTGGCAATGATATATATTCAATAAATACATGCTATGTGAGAGTGAATGAACAACTATGGGCTTTTGAATGCCCACTCAAAGCTTTGGACGCCTGCTTCAAAATATATTTTGCATTAAATTGTGCGTATTCAAAAGAATGCTATGAGACATGGATGATAATACAACTTCTAGTTTATAAGATCAAAACACCGTTTGACAAACCAACAGCAATTATTAACACTATACTAAATAAATTTTCAAATGTATAACTTAAAACATAATATTATAACCTAAACTCTAAAGTATAAAACTTAAACTACAATCTTAATTTAAAATAATGCAATAGTTTGCTACTTATGTCTAACTTTTATTTCATCAGATAATTATATAACTAAAATTTCAATCATGTTTAATTGTTTTTTATGTACTGAAAATAAATTTACTTCTACAAACCAGTATATATGGCATCTAAAGGTTTATCACAACTTAGATTCTCAATCACTTTATACATGCAAACAGGATAATTGTTTTAGAGATTTTCTCGGCTTACATAAATTTAGGCAACATTTAAATAGAACACATGCAAATAAAAGTAATTCAATTACACAACTGAACGTAGAAATTGATGGACCTTTAGAAAATGATTCAGGTAGTACTGCTTTTGATCCAAATATTACAAATGAAAATAGTTTTGGAAAAAATATAATTAATTGCACGTTTAAAGATATTGTTACAAATAATGTTTCAAGTTTTATTGCCAAGTTATATTCAAAGCCAAATGTAACTGAGACATTACTTCAAGAAATAGTTGAAGGAGTTAATGAATTATTTTCCAATGAAATTATAACTCATTTAAAAAAAAAAGTTTTTTCTGTTTTAACTAACTATGATACTTCTAAAAAAACTGAAATAGAGGAAATGTTTAATGTTCTCGAAAATCCTTTTTTGGAGTTCAAAACCAAACATTTGCGAATAAAATATTTTGAAAATCATAATTTATTTTTTAAACCCACAACAGTAGTAGTTGGTTATATGAAACAAAAAAAAAAAGTTGAAGGAATTGATCGTTTATTAATGGTACCTGTTCAAGGTCATTTATTATCTTTTAAAAGTAATTTAAAATCATTTTTTGAACTGCCAGATATATACGAAACTGCCCTAAAATTCACCAATGATTCTTTAAGCAGTACAGGTATATTAACTTCATTTTTAAATGGTTCCACATGGAAAAAAATTAAATGTTCATTTTCGGATAAAATTGTGTTTTCCATTTTTTTATACTACGATGATGCAGAAATGGGTAATCCAGGGTAGTGAGATCGAATCCCGGCTAGGGCAGATGGAATTTGGCACGTTCCGAAATATTTTTTTTTGCTTGTCTAACATTTTTTAACATTACATTAAGTAGTTTTAAGAATACCATTAGTTAATTCAACATCTTTACAAACTTTTACAAAATATCAGCAACTTAAGTTGAGATAACAATAACCAATATTCAACCTACCCTCAAATAAAAGTTAATTTAAAACTGCTGTAATGTTGTACTAAATATAGTAAATATCATATCTACATAATTGTATTTGTTAAGATATACAAAGTTTGTAGTTGTCTTAATATCAACTGATGTTGTATTAACCACTAATCACTACGAGGCATGAGTCTTACTATAGCAACGAGTAGTAGTTATTTTAACTATCGCTTAATGTGAATTTAACACCAAGCTCCTCCCAGCTCAAAATCAACACACAACTGTGTATGACATTGACACCAATGAGTGTTGAATCAACGACAGATTTCTAACTGTGCACTTTTAAACATACATAAATCATTATTTTGTATATTTTTTAATTGGGATATAGCTTCATTTAAAGAAGTAGGATAAATTGGATACTGTTTTCTTTTTTTATCATAAATCGCCTTTCGCACTGATGTAATATCATTGTTCATAATATTTGGTAAGTCACTGTTTAATAACTCTGTTCTAATAATTTTTAACGGTCTTGTCGATGTATTTTCTTCAGCTTTTCGCTTACAATTTTCCCTCAAAATCTGTCTTTCAATTTTTTCGTTGTTATTACTTGCATGATTTACATGTTTACCATTTGACGAATGGAAAGTTTTGTCTATTTTTGTTAATAAACTGGCACTACAACTGTTATTGGAACATTTCCATTTCATTAATCCATCTTTGCGTGTCCTTACATATGAATATTTATCATTATTTAATAATACAAGCTCTTTTCCGCGTTCAGACGTAATAATTTTAAAGTTTTCCATTATAAACCACTATTACACTATTATACACTATTACACTACGTTGTTACCGCACTGTCCACCACGAACAACTGAATTTGGCAATATTAATAATTATTTACAGTTGAAAATCTGCAGATACGTACAGTGTACATATCGTTATCGTATTTAGTATTGTTACTTGTTTAGTTCTGGACGTACTAATTGGTTACTAATTCAGTAATACTTATCGAGGCCTAGCTGTTGTTATCGACGATAACTTGTACCTATGTATATATGTATGGTATATAGGTATATATAACGGCAATAGTTTGAGCGGAAAAGCCTAGCCATGATAAAATTTTTATCGGTGATATGCTATGTTATATAATTTATTATTAACCGTCGACAGTGTGCCGAATGGCTCTTGTTAATCGCAAGAATTGTCGTAAATTTTATAAAAAAATTGTGAAAAATGGCCAAAAAATACAAAAAAAAAATCAGCTGACACATTTTATACTTACAAAACAACGTTTCATTACACCAAAAAAAGATGCATTTGCATCAAAATCCAATAAATGGCAACGTCGCTAGAAAAATCGTTCTCAATCGTGTTGCTAAAAAGGTAAAACGTTCTCAATCGTACAACACCGAACGAATGACAATAGTCCTGCCCACCCGGCTAACAAATATGAACCTTTGATCATTACCTTTATCGTATAGGTACGGCGCATTATATATATAAATTAAATATCCTCTCCAGGTGAAAATAAGATAGAGGCAGACTTGTATTATAGTAGATAATTAATTAGCAGTTATCGGTTTCCTTTGACAGATAGCACAGTGACGACGGTCCGACCTATGTTATAATATAATATACATATATATTTATAACCTGATTCAATTTGTAATTTTTTAATATAATTGTTGAGTCCATCGAATTTAACTATAATAAATTATAATATACGCACCGTAGGTTTAACTTAAATTATTAATATTATTATTATTTTTTTTTTTTAGTTGATCTTAAGACCGGCATTTATGACCATTAGCTGTTTTGGTTTTGTACGTTTTTATCTCGATAGGGGGAGGAACACGTGTGTGTTGTGTTTGGCAGAATTTTTGATTGGACACCCGTAGCCGTAGGTATCTGCCATGCTCGGGTGATGGATGGCAGCAGAATTCAGTGGCGTATATACAAATTATTTTCACTATGGGCCAATTTATCACTAGTCAGCTAGCGCGACTATAACATAGCCATAACTATACATTTTTTGAGGAGCTGGGTGGTTATAAATACAAATACAAATTGCGCAATTAAACGTTATGATTATAATGTAAATTTCATATAGTTATCCTAGGAAAATTATACCGGGGGTATAAAATGTCTAGGATATTTGTACCCCCCGGTATGACATTTTGGGAGGTATAGATATCCTAGGAATATTATACCGGGGGTATATAATTCCTAGGATATTCATACCCCCCGGTATGAGATTTTGGGAGGTATAGAACGCCTAGGATATTTGTACCCCCCGGTATGACATTTTGGGAGGTATAAAATTCATAGGATATTCGTACCCCCGGTATATAATTTTGGGGGGGTATAAATATCTTAGGAAATTTATACCGGGGGTACTATTAACCTAGGAAAATCATACCCCCGGGGGGTATGAATATCCGGGGGTATGATTCGCTTGTTACACCGGCTTAACCGTTTGTATTTTGTTTTAATTTAACTATTTTAACCATGTCATTTGTAACAGTAAGTATTTTAAACATGATTATAAATATTAATGTAATACCTTTTCAAAACTTTTATGGAGCAAGCTTAATTTAATATTATATAATATTATATTATACAGGGCATAGGCTCTCAAATTTTACCCATATTGACTGACATATTTCATATCCTTATAGAGAGGAATAATGAACATTTAAAATAAAACAATTTTCTGAATTTTATTTCCTTTGAAACATACATTTCTATAACTTTGCATTTTTTACTGCTCAAAAAATAAACTAACGCTGAACTTCTGATACTTTTTTATGTTATTATAATGGTATACAAAGATTATTAATTGATTTCATTATATATTAAAAGGGAAGAATGTGTCACCAATGTAAAATATTTGTTGTTAATGGAAAAGAACACATTTGTCTAGAAAGTATGACAGACAAGTCTTTAGTTGAAAACATACCAAAAAAAAATAGCTCCAAAAAAAACTATATTTGATACCTGTATAGAAGAAGAGTCCATACTAGAAACTTCTATTCAGTGTGGTTGGTTTATTTAAATAATTGATTATTAGGTTTTTACCTACCTACTTCTAATATTATTATAATTATTCTTTGTTACAATAGATGAACCTACAACTTTAAGTAGTACAAAAAGAATCACTAAAAATAACGGAATTAATAAAGAAGATATGTTTAAATTAATCAGCATTATAGAGACTTGTAAACCACTTTGGGACCATAGGTTACCACTAGGTGATCGATCAGAAAATATTAAAAATAATATGTGGAATGAAGTTTTTGTCCAATTTAATGGCAAAATAGTTGAAAAACTGTTAACTCATTACAAATAATGTATTTTTGTATTTTGTTTATAATTACATAATAAAAATGTTAACTACCCTCCTTATATGTAATATACTAGGTTCATATTATACTCTAGAATGCTTAAAAATGTACCTTTAAGTATATTAGAGAAAGGTACACAAGAGAAAAAAAACCAAGTGCAAGTGGTAGTTCAGGTGGTACCAAAAAGGTAGAAACTGTTGATTTGCCGATACGGAAATTAAACATAATGTCGACCATACTTTCACCAGTGGCTAAATACCTTTATAAATAAAAATATAAGTAACATTTTAAAACTTTTTTACATAATTTATTTATTAAATCTCAATAATATACTGTTATAACAATTAACCTTAATGTGGCTCCTACAATTTCTCCAACACATAAAACATCAGGCCTTGAAGGTGAACGTTGAAGATCAGGACCAACTATAATCATAAGCTCTTCAAAAGCTGAGGCTGACACTCCCGTAAAATTAAAAAATAAGTACGAGTTTGAAAGCTGGTGTTCTTTTAACATAGTATTAAAATGACTAAGATTAGAACGTTCATTTAGCATTGGCCGTACATGCCACATATAATACATACAAATGTTAATTAATCAATATTACTGTTTTGTTAAGTTATTTTATTAGGTATTAGTTTATTTATATAAATTTACATTTGTAATGGCAAATAGTGGCATAAATTGGTCTGTGCCAAATGCCAATTTAGCACTGTAAGTTGTCACCACCAGAAAATTTTAAAAATTAATAGTAATGTAGTAAATATTTGTTTAGTAGGTCTAAAATTGTAATTTGTAATGATAAGGGCAGGGTGCACTTACAATAGAGTATGAACTAAATGGTGGAAATAATTCATACTTAAAACGGCCAGACAAACTTTAATAAGAGAAGTTTTACCTGGTGAATATTATCATTTCGGGGTGTATAAAGGTATCATGCAATTTTTGAAATCGCACAGTAAATTTGCATCGCTCGAAAGTGATGTAGAAATAATGGTAAACATTGATGATTTACCAATATCAGCCTCATCCAATAGTCAGCTATGGCCAATATTATGTTCTGTTTTTCAATATAACCATGTTTTTTTGGTTGGTTTATATCATGGAAAAGACAAAAAACCTAAAAGCTCTAATGAATTTTTATCAGATTTCATTAATGAAATTCGTGATATGACTATAAATGGAATATTTTATGATGGAAAAACATATGGTTTCAATTTTAAAGGCTCTCGGTAGATTGCCCAGTTGCCCAGCAAAAAGCTATATGATTTGTGTAAAGGGTCATGGAGGTTATTCTAGCTGCACAAAATGTATGACTGAAGGGGAATATGTTGAACATCGTATTTGTTTCCCTGATAGTAATGCAAGACTTAGAACTGATGAGCAATTTGCAAATCAAGAGGATGAAGAATATCATATAAGTGAAACTTCCTTACTTGAAATACCAAATATAGGACTGGTAACTTGTGTACCATTTGACTACCAACATTTAATTTGCTTAGGAGTCACCAAAAAACTATTAACCTTATGGCTAACAGGTAGTCTTCGAGTAAGGCTGTCTTTCAAAAAACAAGAAGCTATTTCTACAGATATAAAAAAATATATCTCACCTTATATATCGTTAGAGTTCCAGAGAAAACAACGTTCATTAAATATGTTTAGTCAGTGGAAATCAACCGAGCTAAGGATGTTTTAGTTATATTTTGGTGCTGTTATACTGAAAAATCATTTTAAAAATGATATATTTCAAAATTGTTTATGTTTACATGTTGTCATTCGATTTCTGTGTGCAAGCAAATATTGTAATATATCTGAGTATTTGGAATATTGCAATAGTTGATTGCGCCATTTTGTAGAAACGTTCAAAGATATTAATGGGATTCAAAATGTTTCCCATAATATGCATGCTCTTGTTCATTTGACAAAAGATATAGAAAAGTATAGTTCCTTAGATAACTTTTCTACATTTAAGTATAAAAATTATATGCAACAAATTAAAAAAATGATTAGAAAAGATGACAGGCCTTAGCAGCAAATTGTTCGAAGAGTGAATGAAAAGAATTCTTGTTTTGTTAATATGAATTGTGATTGTGATTCAACTATAGATTACGAATACATACGGAAGACAACATTATGAGGGACCTTTGCTCTTAAGTTCTAAGAATCCACAGTATTCAAGTATAAAGTGCAAAGTTTTCACTCTAATTCGTAATGATCCTAAAAAATACTACTCTACTTTATACAATGGTGACATTATAATAATAAATAATATTGCTCATCAAAAAGAAAATAATCGTAGTCTTAATTGGAAGAAAATTTTTAAGGTTAAATAATATGTTTGAAATACCATGTAAATCTTCTTTATTAGATATTTGCATAGTAGAAAAGCTTTTTGAACAACTGTTTTGGCCAATAAAAAAAAAAAATTGTCTTTTTGCAATACCCGGAAAAAGTAGTTCTTTTGCATCAATTCCTCTATACATTCAGATAAATATACAATATAAAAAAGGTGGACAAGTGGGTGTCGCTCTGCTGTACAGTAGGTTACAAGTGGGTCACTGTATAATGGATGGTATTATATTTGAATTCAATGATAATATATCATTGTATAAGAAAAACGATTCTGAGCGGAGATGGTATGTCCTTCTAGGTATAAGACATATTATATACTTATCTATGGTGTTAAAAAAAATTGACCTATAATGAATTTCAAATTAATCATATCACAATATCCATTAGGTACTTATAACACGTTATACACCAACAACAAACCGTGATACTATCATAGATATATAATAGTACACTTTAGAAGTTTCAAGTACCCACGAATAATATTATTCAATCACAACAAAATAACTAAAATAGTTATTCTAGGTTTTTTAATATGTAATTTTGTTCAAATTTGAATTTAAAATGTCTGTAAAAAATAACTGTGTTCATATATTTTTTAGATTTTTTGGTTACAGTATGAATATTTATGAGAACCTTTGTTTTAAATTTGCAATCCTTATCTATAAAAACTGAACATTTTATACTTAATTAATTACAATGATTGATAATTTTCGAGATTTTGATAAATTTTGTCAAAATTTGATCTTTAAATGCTTATAAAAAAAAAATGTGCCAATGTATTTTTAATATTTTTCAACTGATATTGTAACAATATATCAGGAGCCTTGTATTAAATTTTTACACTTTTTGACCCAACAGATAAAACTTAATTGATATTTATAGAAAAAAAAAACTAAAAAAATTGAAAACTGAAAATGTCCGTAAACGGCTCAAAAAGAGTCAAAATATTTTCAAAATTGTATGTTGTATAGGAAATGCTAATATAAACATTCAGTGAAATTTTCATGTATCTACAGTAATTCGTTTTTTAATTACAACAAAAAAAGGAAATTGCCACATGAGAAATTGAGTGAATTTCCAATGTTGTAAAAATTTGAATTTCAAACGCTCATAAAAATTTAATTTGACTTTCCGGTAGAGATTTTTTTATTGATAAAGGTAGAAAATCTTATGAGTAATCTTGTATTTGATTTTCAAATCTTAGATTTAAAAAGAAAAATTTTTACGAATTCTTAACTCAAAATAATTTGCTAATTTTCGTGATTTTTCCATATTTTGTTAATTTTTGAACTTTAAATGCTTATAAAAAAAAACTGTGACTAACGATTTTTAATATTTTTCATCTGTCTTTGAAACAATATAGTAGGAGCCTTGTATTAAATTTTCAAGCTTTTGCAACCAACAAATAAAATTTTATTGATATTTTTAGAAAAAAAACTAAAAAAAGATGGAAAATGAAAATGTCCCTAAACAGTTCTAAATAAATCAAAATATTTTGAAAATGTTATCGTGTATATAAAATGCGAATATAAACAACCAGTTAAAATGTCATGTATATACGTTCATTTCTTTTAGAGGTACACCAAAAACCAAAATCGATTTTTTGGAAAACCGATTTTGAGTAAAAATTCCCGTTTTTCCTTAATTTTTATGTTGTTTTTCCCGGCGCTTGTGAAAACTACTGGGAAATTTTCACTTTTGACCCCCTAAAGTACCAACTAGATTCACTTTCCTATTAGAAAAGCTACTGTTTAAGAAAATCCAAGCGTTTTTACTGTCCTAAAACGTGATGACAGACACAAAAAAAAAAAAAAAAAAAAAAAAACACTCATCATTGTAAAATCAATACATTCATCGTTCCACTCAGAATCTAAAATTGCAATAATGTATATTAACTGTATTATTATTATTTTTATTAATGCACTTTTTTAACTTCATGATTTCAGATGATTTATCTGTTCTCGAAGATTTAGCTGAAGTGAAGATAAAGGTTCAAAAACTGTTATTGAATAAAAATACCATTCTATACAAGTTGGAAAAATTACTAATAAATTATCGTTCAGTTGATAACTGCCTGCAGAATAATACATCAACACAAATTGATGAATTTGAAATACACTTCAATGATAATTTTCCTTTAAAAGAATTAATACAATTTAATCATATTAATGACATTTTAAACAATAAGGCATACTACAGTCTTATGGTAAATATTATTTTGTATGCATATAGTGTTATGTTAATGTTAATATGTTTATCAAATTATTACTTATACGATTTAATACATTTTCAGAAAAAGAAACTATCAGTGTATGGTGGATCTAGCATTAATGACGTTACACGTCATATTCATATAAAACTTTTGAGTAACGAAATATCAAGATTTATTACACTTACTGGTCATAAAGGAAAAAACATGTTTTGCCAGTACAAACTATTTTAAAGTATACTAGGTGTGTGTATTTATCTATCAAAAATAAATTATACTAACCCTATTACATTATATACATTCAACAAAATATGTTCTGTTTGATCAAATAGCAGCAACTGATACTAATTTCTCAGATTCCTTCGATCTCATTACTTGAGTAGGGGAGACCGGGAATAGTTGTAACATTTTTCATATTTATGGTTATATCTCGTGAACTAATCATTCCTTATGCTTTCTTTTGATACCAATAGATAGATAATTTTATCTAGTTATTTCACATAACCTATAGTATCTTAAACACAATTACAAAAATTAAAAAAAAATATAATATTTATAATTTTTTTTGTTACAATTTACCCCGGTATGGGGGTAAATTTTAACACTAGGTGGGGTAAATTGTAACACACAAAAAAATTAAACTTTATAATAATTCCTTTTTTATTTATAACATAAAATTTCTTTTTTAACCCACTTGGTTTTTATAGTAATAACAACATAATAAATATTAAATATATATTTTACATATTTTTTTGCAGTTTCTCGAATTGATTTTTTGTCTGATATGACTTCATGTGAGGCATTTGTTATTTGTTCTTTGGTGTACCCTCTGGTGGTGGTTCTAATATAATTTCTAGCCATTACTAAATATAAGTAGGTACCTAAAAATGTCAAACAATTATCAAATAAATATGACAGGTTGATTAAGTGAAAATAAATAATTAATACAAATAAAACAGTGTAACAATTAACCCCAATGGGTTTGTTACATTTT